ATGATACTGATTCTCGTAATATTCTATGCTAAGAGGCGGGTGGTGGGCGGGGCGGGTCTGTGTTGGGGGGGGGGGGGGGGGTGGGGGGGTGGGGGTCCAAATTTCTACCCCAAAACACTTCAACACTCCTTTCAGGTAGTGTTTCACAAAATGGTACAATGATATGTATTCTGCAGTGACAATCAACGCACACTTGTGTGATTCTGCATAATTTATCCAAAAAAAAAGAAAGAATAAAAGCGTATTTTACAATCGCTTAGTCACAATATATATGATTTCATTTTTCTTTTTCTTCTATGGTCATACTGGTGATTCACAACACAATATGAGCTTTCCCTCGATGCAATTTCAGTTCTGTTCCATCGTCAATATTGGGTATCTATGTTAGTTTAAATGCTTCCATGCCATAGGAAAAGCGTGCGTAACCGAAAGCATCTGGAATAGTCGGAAATTGAAAGATCGGCTCACATTTTAATAGACAAGAGATGGACAGTGGGTGAAGCTGTGGGCCCTTCACTCATACTCCGCAAACATCCGTAGTATTAATATCTATATATAAATCATCATTGGTATTGATTGAAGACGATGAAAGAAAAAGCGTTTGTCCAAGGCGAAGATTACTTTTTCTTTCCTCCTTACTTCTAATCTGCCTAGATGTCATTGTAATCATCTAGTAATGCTTCTATAAACTCGTTTCATGATTGGTCGCTTATGATGGTCTCTTTGATATTTAAGTTGTTGTCTTGTTGTCAGTGTTTCTAATGGCAGATGTACACAGTGGAAACTGAATATTCCAAACAACTGATGCTCCCGAAATAGGGTGGGGTGTGGGTGTGGGTGTGGGTGTGGGTGTGGGGTGTGGGTATGGAGTGTGGGTGTGGACAGCTCTAACCTGAAACACCCACACCCACACCCACACCCACCCATAATTTAGCTCTATATGAGTATGGATTATATTCCAGGTGGTAACTTTATGACATTACTTGAACGATATGAAATGAATGAAAATTCTGCAAGTTTTTATTGTGCTGAAGTTGTGCTTGCACTTGATGCTATTCATAGTATGGGTTATATTCATCGGTATGAATAAGAATTTTCTTGTTTTTCTTCTATCTTTATTTTTTGTAGAGATGTTAAACCAGATAATATTTTACTTGATGTTTATGGACATATAAAATTAGCAGATTTTGGTACTTGTATTGAAATGGATAAAGTAAACGAACTAACAAATAGTTTTATTTCAGACTATCGAATGGTTTTTGTTTTTCATTTATTAAAGGATGGTCTTGTTCGATCTAATATTGCAATAGGTACGCCAGATTATATATGTCCCGAAATTTTAAAATCTGTAAGTACACCCGGTGTTTATGGACCTGAAGTTGATTGGTGGTCTGTTGGTGTGTTTCTTTATGAAATGTTACTCGGTAATTTTTTTTTGAAATTTCATATAAATTGTATTTAATTAGTTTTGCCCGTTTCTTTTCTTAGATGAGACACCATTTGATGCTGAATCATTAGTTGGAGTATATCATAAAATAATGAATCATCGAGAAAATCTTATCTTTCCAGAAGAACCAGTTTTATCTAATGCAGCTCGTACACTTATATGTGCATTTCTTAATGATCAGTAAGAATAAGTTTATTGAGAAGAAGAAGCAAAAAAAATCGCGTATTTATATTTTAGATCAACACGTTTAGGTAAAAATGGTGTCGAAGAAATAAAAGCTCATCCATTTTTTACAAACCAAAATGAATGGACATGGGAAACAATACGACAAGGCAGTTCGAATAAAATATAAATATTCTTTTCTTTTTGTTTTATATTTATTATGTATATATATTTTTTAGCTTCAGCTCCTATCGTCCCATTATCAACAAATGATGAAGATACAAATAATTTTAAAGACCTTGAAAAAAATGGTCATTCTTCAAAAGAATCATTTTCTGTTAGTAAAACATTTGTTGGAAATCAACTTTCATTTGTTGGATTTTCATTTTCCAATGAAGCACAGTAAGATATTTTATATCATCTATTAAATTTTGATAATGAAATCATTTAAGACTCTAAAAAGATTTATTGTATTTAATTAGAAGCGTTTTTTTTGTTTTGATCGAATGTCAAAGAGTCATCATCATTAATTGAGTAGATTTATGTTCAGTTATGTTTTTATGTATAGTGTATGTATTGTTATCTGTCATCACTCTCAGAATTATGATTCTTAAAGTCGTACGACTAACGAGAAATTTTTTCTAGATGCTCTCTCAGATTTCAATGAATTTTTGTCTATAGATACTATATAGTGTCCTTGTAAAAGCCCTAAAATGATTTGGCGGCATATTGAGATTTCTCTAAGCTATCGAATTTTTACTATGCTTACTTTCTGAAGACTCCTGTAAAAGATCCCAAATTTTCGGAAAAATCGAATTTTGACCTAAAACTTTACATATTTATAGACCTTAACTATACTAGTTCCCATATAAAAGGTGAGAAATTTTGAACAAAATCTCTTCAAGAAATGAGAATTTCAAGATATAGACCCTTTTCCAAAGATACTTTATAGGGCATGATTTTTTTCATGGAAGCCAGTATGGTTATGGTCTATAAATATGCAAAGTTTCAAGTCAAAATTCGAAGATTCGATTTTTTCGGAAACTTGGAATACTCTACAGGAACCTCTTGAAAATAGACATATTAGAAATTCAATGACTTAGCTAAATTTCAATATACATACAAATCATTTTAGGGAACTTGAAAAGATTTTTAAAATATTGTGACAAAGACCGGAATGACCCCGTAACTTATTCGATAGCTAGAATTTCCAAATGTAACGGAAATCTGTACTGTCTTTGGTGACAAAATAGATTTGTCTATTTTTAGAAAATTTATTACGAACCCAAGAATTTCTAATAACACCCGATAGTCATTGCTTTAGTTAACAACTGTCACGAGAGTAGCCACCTTTGATGACGAAAAAGATTCAAATTTTTTCTTGAACTGAACACGAAAGCATTTGCGCTACAAGGAGTTACATGACTGTTAGCGTTCTCTCTTCTCTCTATTTGTGGTGCGAGAGAGATATATGTATACGTATGTGC